GTACCATTTTGCTGAATCTGTCAACAAATACGAGAATACCCGTATTCCCGCGTGCGTCTTTGGGTAACCCGAAGACGAAATCCATTGAGATGGATTCCCAGCACTCAGCCGGAACCGGTAGAGGCTGTAAAGGTGCACGCAGTGAAGGACTTGACTTCACTCGTTGGCAGACTTCGCATGCGCGAACATACTTTCGCACAAACTGATACTGGCGGGGCCAGTAAAAGTCTCGACTTACCGTGAGATATGTTTTCTCTCGGCCACGATGTCCTCCTATAGGAGCATCGTGATACTCGAACATGATCCGCAAACGCAGATCAGTATCATCTGGAATGACAACACGTGGTGTGTCACCAGAAACGGCTGTATAGTACAGTAAACCGTTATGAGTAGTGTATCGATCTGATGCAGATCGATACGCAGACGACAATCGTTTCAACGATTCTCGAGATGGTTGGGAGAGATGTGACAACAACTTCACTATCTCACCATCTTGGGCGTATGCCCGCCTCACATCATCATACAACATTGTAGATGGGACTGAGGACGTCATAACCGCAACAGTGACTGTCTCACTGTTGGGTTTCGCGACTGTTTCAAAGTCGGGACGACGTGAGAGTGCATCAGCGACGACATTAAGTCGTCCTGGTTTGTACTCGACCGTAAAGTTGTATTCTGCAAAGAATGACAACCACCGCGCCATTCGTTGTGAAAGGTGCGGGCTGTTCACTGCCGTGCGTAAGGACGCATGGTCAGTGTAAACAACGAAGGGTCTATCTCCTAATAGATAGACTCTGAACTTCGCGAGTGCATACTTCATGGCAAGGAGTTCCTTGTCATGCACTGGATAGTTCCGCTCAGCTGGTTGCAGCTGACGCGACTGATAGCAGACGACGCGTTCAACGCCTTCAAGGTCGTACTGCATTAATGCACAGCCGATTGCGAAATCGCTGGCATCACAGACCACATGAAATGGCCTGTCCTGATCGGCTATTGCTAGGACTGGGGATTGTATCAAGCTCTGCTTGATACCCTCAAAGGAGCGTTGACATTCAGCGTTCCATAACCACCTCTCGTTCTTTTTCAACAAACGAGAGAGGTGTACAGTCATCTCGGCGTAATTGCGTGAATACTTATGCAAATACGCCGCTAGCCCAAGGAATTTTCGAAGACCTTTGACATCGACCGGCACAGGCCAGTCGGTGATCGCCTTGATCTTTTCGGGATCAGGACGTACACCGTTCTTACCAACGATGCACCCAAGAAGTGGTATTTCGCTTGCTGCAAATATACACTTCTTGAGGTTTGCATACAATTGATGCTTTCGCATGATTGTAAGAACTTGTCGGACGTGGTACCTGTGAACCTCAACGTCCGACTTTCCATCCATAGCTCGACTATGGATGAATACGTCATCGAAATAACTCGGCGCGAATTCTCGTACTGGCCTCAACAGATGTGATACACACCTGTTGAACGTGGCAGGGGCATTACTGAGCCCTTGTGGCATTACTAGCCATTCCCAGAGCATGCCGCTAGGCGTGCTAACTGCGGTATAGGGTATATCCCGTTCCCGCATTAGGATTTGATAGAAGCCATCCATCAAATCCATGGACGAAAAGATGGTACTCTTTGACATACCATCAATGATTACGTCCTTCCTCGGTATCGGCGTCTGAGCCGGTACCGTTGCAGCGTTCAATTTGTTAAACGCGTGCACTATCCGCCACCCTCCTGTTGCTTTTCGCACACAGAAGGTCGGAGAGCTATGTGGGGAAGTTGATTCCCTCACATGGCCCGCTGCTAAACGATCGGCAAAGAACTTGTCGATCGCAAGTACTTGTTCACGAGGCAGTGGCCACTGCTTCATGACACAGTACTTCGAGCCTGGTTTAAGCTCGACTTCGTGTCGAATACCTTTATCCTTCGGTAATTCGCACGGAACAGTTTCAGGGAATACATCCTTGAATTCAACCAAATCTTCATAGAGAGGATTTTCCTTGAGCGATTCCCATGATTGGGACCCATATCGCTCAATTCGTGTCTTTTCATCTAGGACACTCTCGTCCATAGATGAACTACTGAGAACTCTCTCGTTCTCAGTAAACACTGTTGCTGACCTTATGTCGGTTACATACTCGTCGTCAGCGACGAGTATGCAGATCTGCTTGACTTTGCCACTACGCAGATCACGCAAGAACCTTTTATGTTCGAGCGTTGGCAACTGAGTGATCTCCGAAGTTAACTTCGGGGGCGCAATCAGATCAAGTGTATAAGCGCCTACACTTGATCCGTTATTGACTATGACATTCAATGTCTCTGTCATTTCCTGGGGACTTATTCCCTCAGGCTTCGAAGGACTTATTCCTTCGTCTTCCCGGGGACTTATTCCCGCGGGTTTCGGGGAACTTATTTCCGCCGTATTTGTAATCTTGGGACTTATTCCCTTTACTTCCTCTAGCTGGGGTTGCGCAACCACAGCGAGATCCTCTACGAAAGACTCTCCAGTCGATCTAGGATTATCGTTTCGCTTAACCTGAGCGATCGATTGTTTCTCTTCTAGATGTTCCCCTCTAGGGATACATCTTTGTCCCAGTCCACCCGACTTATTCGAGTGGTGGACCTTCGGCGCAGCCTGTGTTTCCTCACAGCCGCCGGAACTTGGCTCCGAAGTGTAACCGTTTGGTACACTAAGGTTTTGTGCAGTCGTACTAACGACCGTACCACAAGTGAGGCCATCGCACTCACTCGTAGTACATCCACACGCTTGTGGACGTTTCCAAAACGTTCATCAGATGGCCATCTGATGAACAAGCGGCAGGCATCGTTACTGTCCGATGTTGCCAGTTTACCCGTGATTCGTACCTTCTGAGCCACGGTATTCCAAGGATGACATCAAATTTGTCATCCAAATCCAATACGATAAAGTCATCGTCGTATTGGGTATCTTCTAGCGTATAGTGAATCTTCACTATACGCTTCATGACGGTTACGGATGCGCCTGTCGCAAGACGTACCGTCATCCTCGTAGGAGGTGTGTCACATTCACTGAATTTAAAGTGACCATCTTCTAGCGATTGGCGTCGCACAAAATTGTTGGACGCCCCACAATCGACTAGAGCTCGAAGGGACAACTTATTCGTCACTTCGAGTTTCAAGGTAATGAGTGAGATCTCATTACCTAGAGCAGCAACGCACAACGTCTGTGTGTTGGGAGCAACCTTCATCAAGAGGCCTACAAATTCTCTTGACGTTGCTGGATCAGTAGGGTGCTCCGCACCTACTGATCCTGTCCGTTTTTTGACGGTCCATCCCGTTGTTGCGTCTTTGCACCAACTGCGGACCCTCGTCCCTGCCCCTTTCTCATGGGTGGACGGTCACTACGCCCAGTGTCGCGAGACACTGGACGAGGGGCACTACACTCGTAAGCGTAGTGTCCTGTCTTTTGACATCTGTTGCATCTCTGCAACTTCTTGTAGCCTGTAGAGCGAGCCTTCTCGCTCTCTACATAACAGAGTTCCATCGGCTCTGGACCTCCGTTGTCATATCGTCTCGGTTGACGATATGATGTCGAGCTGGCGCGAGCCTGTCTCAGACTGAAGTCTTCCTGCTCCGCAATTGAAATGGCTTGTTCTAGTGAATCTAGTTCAAGCCGGAACAGGTGAGTCTTGACGGGACCATCCGCAAGACCCTGCATGAACACCGAAACCAACGTGTGTTCATCCACCGGATTGGAACTTATACAACTCGTGAGATGTCGTATATGTTGAGCGTAAGCGTGCACATCACGCTTACCCTGCTTGAGCTTCAAGAGTTCGGTTCGAGCTCTGAACTCAGCTCTAGGCGGTTCAAACGTTTGTCTGAGCCGCGACTTGAAGACTTCCAACGACCCAAACGCATATGGGTCGTGCAGCTTGAGCCCCAGTGCCCAAGTCTTGGCACGTCCTGCCAGATTTGACTGGGCAAATGCAACTTGCATATCCCCGTCGTCGATGCGACGCGCCCTTATGGCGTCATCCAATTCGACGAACCATCTCAAGAGGGAGTCTTCTTCGACCCCCCTATACTTTGAGATGTCAATCTTCAAAGTCTCGGGCCGACGCGAGTGCATCGACCCGCCAGCAGCAGCCTGCTGCTGTCTCAACAGTTCAAACTGTTGAGCACCTTGTTCTCTCAACAACTCTGCTTGTTGAGAACCTTGTTGGTGAAGCAAGGCTACTTTCTCGCGTTCTGCGTCAAGTTCATTTTGAATGAACTTGGCGATAGTAGCATGTTGGGCATCTCTATTGAGAGCCTCTAGCATGACGCTAACAGCATGGATGCCCATGGTCGAACCCATTCGTTCAACCGCATCCCATTCGACATCGCTCAAATGGGAGTAGCCGTCACGCGTAGCGTGAAAGCTTTGGTCATCTTCATCATCCAACATATTCATGTTGGATGTGAACGCGGTCCTTGGACGGACTACAAAGTGCTACCAGGTGTAACGGGGCACCCTGAAGCTTGTACTGGTGACAGTACAAGCTACTTATTCTGATAACAGAATAAGGCGGTGCCTCGTAACTTCACGTACACTCGTACGTGCAGAGGAAGACGGTAAGAAGAAGCGAGTACTCGGTTAGAGTAAAAAGTAGAACTGTATTTATAATAGTTAATGTCTGCAATAAATCACTATTTATCTTCATCTAACTATGTCTAAATACAAATGTGTAAATTAGTTATCTGCTCACCACTCATTGCGTGCGTCTGTCGTGGCGCGTCTTCGTTGGTTGATATAATGGCCTATATCAACCAATTAGGAACTACTTGGAAGTGCTACAGAATATTGTCCTTATGACAATATTCTGAGAATATAACTCTTATAGTTATATTCTATTAACAATTTCTTATAAATTGTTATGTAACGATTCACCCCGTTACAGAGCACGGCAGAAGCAGAGTATATGGCTCTTTCTTTATGTGTGCAGGAGGTTCTGTGGACAAGAAGTCTACTCAAGGAGATGCAAGTGCAGATTAACTATGCTGTCAAGATTCACGAAGACAACCAGAGTGCAATCGCTATCGCTAAGAACGACGGCTATCAAAGTCGAGCGAAACATATCGACATCAGATACCATTTTGTGCGCGAACAGGTGAAAGACAAGATTATCGACCTGCAGTATACTGAAACCAAGTCACAGCTGGCAGATTTTCTGACCAAACCGATTTCGACAAAGAAGTTCGAGTCGCTGCTGGACAAGGCCAGGATCAGAGACTTCTAGTCGAGGGGGAGTATTGGTAACGGTGTTGGTTACTGATACTAACGACCATATGTCATGGACGACACTGTGTGATAGTGTGTAACGATGGGATCGACTCATCGTTTTGTTACTAATATTATAGAGTCGATATCGATAGGCTTAGAGTAGTACAACGAGACGAACTAAGGACCTAGCTAGATGATAATTCACTTTCCATTTTACCTTCTTCTAAGCTCTCCCACCTCAACTCGCTCTTGGCTGTTGCCAAAAGTCAAAAGATACTATAGGCCTGGAAGACTGCATTGCAAATAGTACTCACAACGTCAGCCTCTGCCCTTTGTACTAACTCACGCGACACTTTCCGACGTTCCCGAATCAAAAAGTGTTTAAACAAAAAAGCTCTGCAGTCTGCGAGTCACGAACGGTTCTACTGTCAAATAGTCGCTTACTTCACAAATAGACGCATCATCTGCTGCCCGACGGACGCAATGGTCGCACTCTCGCAGCACCCAAAGGCCTTTTAAAAGCACGCAATTCACGTGGTAACAAACCTCCCGATATCAAATAAACACCCGCGTGTTCTACCGCATTCCGCATCTCGCTATACCAGCGACCGACCTCTCGGCCAAAGCAGCCTCACTTCTTCCCTCGCCTCTTGCTCCCCACACTGCCGCCGTACCGCGTCACAGCTTCGCGTCGGTTCCGCTTGGCCATCAGTTTCGGGTCCAGGGGAATGTACGCATACGGCTCGAGCTTGCCCTTCTTCTTGACGTCCCCGCCAGCCTTCTTTGCCCGGTACTCGCGCCCGCTAGTGGGATCGCTCTCGCCCCCCCGTTTGCGCTTCATCCGCCCGCCCTTGTCACTGCTCTTGTCGTGGCTGGTGAGCCCCATCCGGTGCAGTTGGGAGGCCACGTCCTGCTTGAGCTTGTCCTCGTCCTCCTCACCGGCCCCTCCTCCTCCATTCATGTCCTCGTCCTGATCCTCCGGGATGATCATTCGCCCGTCCTTGGTCATTTGAAACTCCTCGTCACTTTCCTCGTCCTCGCGACGCCCCTTCCGCGACGACCGGATGCTCTTCACCGCTGCATGATCGTCAAGGAAATCCAGAATGTCGTCCTCGTCTTCCCGAATCACTTGGCCGCCGCCCTTGGGCTTCCGGTGCAGGTCTTTCTTCCGTTTCAACACTTGCATCGCTGCCGCCTCGTCCCCTTCGTCCTCCTCCGAGTCAGCCATGAACGCTTCGAACGCATCTCGACTCTTGTTTGCAGCCCGACGTTCGGCAGCTTCAGCAGCGAGTTCCGACTTCTTCTTGTCCTCGCGTTCCTTCGTCTTCTTAATGTGCCGAATGAGGGCCCGGTCTTCCTCCGGCACAAGAGCCGCCACGTGCTCGTATCCAAACTTGCGGCAGAGCTTGATGAGGATGATCCGGGTCTTGGCTCGAAAGCGGTTCTTGCTCTCGCCGATCCAGACCAACAACCCGTTGATGATATCCGGAAGGAACGGCGCCAGCTCATCCTTCAGCAGCACTGCAATGCCAAGCTTCATGAAGCCAATCACGCTCTTGATCACTTCGCGAGCTTTCTCGTGCAGCAGCATAAGAACCGTCTTGAGCAGCGCAGGCATAGCTGCTGCAATTGCAGCCTCTTCGCGACCAAACTCGAAGACCAATCGACTGAGACAAATCACGGCTGCACTTCGCATGTGCGGCGTCCGAGCGGCGAGACCACCCAGGACCATCTGGACAAACTCCATGAGTCCCGTTTGCGGGGCACGAGCCCGCAGGAGCATCGCCATGGCCACCAACAGCTCGAAAGCAGCTTCACGGGCTTTACCATTGGCCTCTTTCGTACAGAGCATGATCTCCCCCACGAGGTTGGGCACAAGCTCCTTCTCGGCAAGTCCGTCGGTTGCAGGCTGGGCCTGCAGCGCACGAATCAAATGCGCAAGCACCCGCAGCCGCATTTTCTTGGCTGATACCGAGCACGTGAGCAGCGACTCGCAGATGGCGCGGGTGAGGTCCTGCAGCTGGGACTCTTCCGACAGGAACGTCGGGTGCAAGTCGCAAACGGCCACGAGGGCTGCGTACGAGCGCTTCTGCATGGCAGCGTCCGTATCGTCCAGCAAATACGGCTTGATCACGCGGTACAGCAGTGCAACGTTGACGTCATCCACGTGAGCCAGCAAAGCTAAGGCAAGCGCCATCTGCGCATGCGATACCTGTCGCAGCTTTGTTGCACGCTTCAATTGAGTGCTAGCGCCGTCGGCCTCGATACGTTTTGCCTCTGTTGTAGCCTCCAGCAGCTTCTGCATCACCTTTTTGAACGTCGTGCCAACCAGCTCGGCCTCAGCCAGCGAGGCAAAGCCTTCGAGCGTATCGAGCAGTACCTGGGCACGATCCGTGTCCTTCTCCGGGTCCAGCTCCTCCAAGAACGTAATCAGCAGAGGCACGTATCGTCCGGAAAATTTGGCCAAAGCCGCACGGTCACGTGCTAGCTTGGCTTCGTCCAGCTGCTCTTCTTCCTGTTCGTCGTCGTCACCTTCTTCGATATCGTCTTCCACCAGTGCATCGTCCGTCTCAACGTGATAGCGGCGCGCAACCGACTGCAGTAAGGCGCGGGTACGCTTTACAAGGGCCTGGAGACCTCGGCACACTATCAGACGTAGCTCCGGGTAGCGCTTGTCGGCCATTGCGCTAGCAAGGACTTTCGCAATCTTCTTGAAGTGCGTGTCGACATCGACGGCATGGGCACAAATGCTTGGGAATAGCGACCATAGCTGCATCGCACAAGTCTGCAGTTTTTTGGCTTGCAGCGGAGTCGCACTTGGCTCACGGACACCCGCTTCACATGCCCGAGCCATCGGTAGAATAACGTCCACGAAGAAACCAAGCTCACCACCATGCCGTGCTGACCGAAGCGCATCACGGAACACTGGAAGAAGCCATGCACGCTGTTCGCTTACGATCTCTGTTGGATGATCGATAGGAATAACTTCAAGGAAGGCACGAGGACCAAGAGCTTCAACAGCAGCGCCTGCAGCTAAGGCGAACAAGTCGGACAGCTTCTGGACACTTCGACCGCCTTGCTGCTGCTGTGGGAGTTGGTCGGCAGCTTCGTGCAGCTCACAGCACGTCACGAGGATGGGCTCGAGCGCAGGACGACTAGCAGAGCCGTAAAAGCGGAAGAGCTCCGCAAGAAGCGGGAAAACATGGTTCCACGCACCCTGGAAACGCAGTGACGTGAGGCTCTGCAGAGAGGCAAGCACTCGAGCGATATCCTCAAACGTGCTCTCGGTCTCCAGCACTTCTGGCAACATGACCGCCTTCAGAACATTCAGCAATGAGCGAGTAGCTTGTCGTTGCACGCGGTCGCTGTCCCCGGCAATGTGAGAGCACACGGCACTGACCACGCGCGGAAGCAGCTCACGGGCCGCTTCAGCATTCACCGCAGCAAGCCGAACAATTGCTTGAGACGGGATATGCACAGCATGAATAGCCACAGGTCCTCCCTGAGCGTCCTGTGACTCACTGCTGTGTGCATCAAGCACAGCCACCACAAGCTTGCAAAGAGTATCAGTCGTCAGCTGCGACTCGGATGCTGCGCTCAGCGCGTCCAGGGCTTCATACGTGACCAAGCGCAACGTCTTTGAATTGGCATCCAAGAACTTGGCAAGTGCTGCAACGAGAGACCCAACGACCTGTCGCTGGAGCAATGGCAGTGCTCCTTTGAGAAACGCCACCAGCAGCACAAGTTTCTGGTCGTCCTTCCCGCTTTTACCGGCACTAGCAAACACGTTCTCTCCGAAGCTCGCAATGTGCGTCGACAGAGCGTCACACCCTCTAGCAGCATGGAGTTCCAGCACGTCCATTGTCCACTTCTGTCCTGCCTTGCGCACCTTAGGCCGCGTGTCCATTGCGAGCATGAGCAGCAACTGGAAGCTGCGAATCAGCTCTGGCCGTGCCCAGACAGTCGTCGACGGCTCTTGAGCCAGCAACGTCAGCGCCAAACAAGCGCTCGCAGAGCGCAACAGCGCTGCATCGTCTCCCGCTTCTTGCACTACCGTTGTCAGGCACTTGGCTACAGCCGTAAACTTGCACCGCAGCACGGCGTGCGGGACGTCCGGCAAGACCATCGACAGCAGCTGCGCAACCTCTTGACGGTGCGAGTCCGAGGCCGCGTCTAGCGCTGTCATGAGCGCAGCAAAGTACTCGGTGGGGGAGATCTCGGTCGTGCTGCCCTTGGCGCTGCGACTGCGTCGGTCGTAAATGACGTCCGTGATCACTCCCAGCACGACATTCAGCCGCGTCTTTTGCGGGTGCGTGCCGTTCGCGTGCTTTCGCAGCTCCGTGAACGGGTCCATTGCGGCTACGAGGTAGACGGAGACAGTGCGACGCGAGGCAAGGCAAGGCAAGTCAACTCAACTCAACGCAAGCACCACCACTTGATTCGAGACGATGGGTACATCCACAAACCACTGGCCGCCGCTTCGGACGACCTTCGCGCAACCTGGACTGGGGCTGTGCACGTGTGCCACGTGAATCCTCTCCTTCAGCATTCTCCGTCCACCCGCGGGTGGGTCATCCCGGTCTTTTGCAGTGACGGACGACCTGTCATACAGCATCCACTCGCCCCACTCGCGGCCGTTTATTATTGAAACGCTACAGCATGACTTGGCACACCCGTGCGTCGGTCCTCGCGCTGCTCCTGCTGGTGCTGCTGCTGCTGCGTGCAGGAGCTGTCTCTACGAAGGAAAAGCAAGCAGACGCTGTGCAGCAGGACCCTGCCGTCAGTCGCTATGCCTACGTGACTGTCCACTACGAAGGCACGAGTCGAGACGCCGAGTACGTCTTGGGCGTTCAAGTGATGATGCACTCGATCAAGTTGACCGGCTCGCCGTACGACCTCGTGGTGTTGGCATCTGATTCCGTTTCTGAGACGAGCAAAGCACTGTTTCGGTCCATGGGTTGTCGGGTCCTGGACGTCGTGGACATTCACAACCCGTTTGTTGGGGGTACGCTGCGTAACCACAACTTTATCTACACGCTGAACAAACTGCACGTGTGGAACATGCTCGAGTACGAGCGTGTCGTATACCTCGATGCCGACAATGTCTTGATCCGGAATGCCGACGAGCTCTTTCTCTGTGGCGACTTTTGTGCCGTGTTTATGAACCCGTGCCACTTTCACACCGGGTTACTCGTGGTTACGCCCTCTGCCACCGAGTACCAACGTTTGCTGGAAGGTCTGGACCATCTTGAGAGTTTTGATGGAGCGGATCAGGGCTTCTTGTCATCCATGTATAGCGAAATGCTGCGGAAAGCCGAGCTGTTTACGCCTGGGAAAACGCCGTTTTCTGGAGCTGAGCTGGACGGACGGAAAAAGGTGCGTGTGAAGTCAAAAGGCATGAGACTGCCAGTGGGCTACAACATCAATCACAAGTACTTTTACGAGCAATATCATTGGAAACTGTTCTACTTGCGACAGTTTGCGTCGATGACGTCGCCGATTAGTCCAATTAAGGTCGTGGTGGAGTCAGCGAGGGGAATACCGGCACTTACGGTGGGCTACCCCATGGCTTCTGTCTTGAAGCCGTGGTATTGGTGGGCTGGATTTTTCTTGGACTTGCACGGTGTGTGGCACGATATTCGGGCGACACTACCACGATCGCAGGAACGCTATGGAGGGGAAGAAGCCATCAAGACACTGCTGGGTTTCTTTAGCTCGCTCGCGTTACTTACGGCAGCTCTTTATGCACTCAAGATTACGCTGCCTATGCGTCAAATTCAGAAGCGTTGTGTAGCGTTGACGATGCGAAATAACAAGCAGGTCCGGTATGCTTACATGGCGTTCCGAATGGCTCTTGTGATGCTTGCTTTCCGCATTGCTCCTGCGCGCATACACCCACTAGCTCCCGTGTACTACGGCTACAGTCTCATGATCTTCATGAACGTGTTTCTGCACATTTACTTTGCCAGTGTGATATCCAACTTCTGGGATCCGCATCAGCAAGTGTCTATACCACCCGTGCTGTACGTGACTCGATTTTGGTTGTACGTAGCTATCACAGCGGCATTCGAGCTCATGGTGGTCTGGCTCAGTACATGGAACGTGTTTCTGAACGTGTTTTGGCGACTGCTTTCGATCTTCTTCTCGATCCTCTCGTGTGCGTACTGGCAGATCAAATATTACCGCCTCGTGCTTGATGCCGAGTTTGGTGGCCGAAAGGAACGACTCAGGAGCCTCTAGTCGTACCATGTCGACAGGGTGTCAGGATGGCTGAAGGCTCGTATGTACAAGAGCACAATGAATGTGATGTACTATAGCTGCGGTGCAGCTGTATCGAAAGGGGCAGTAACAGCGGCTTAAGCGTCTGCCTTCTCTTGCGCGGCATCTGTTTTCTTTGGCGTGGAATAATTTGTGATGCGCTCACTACATCGGCAAAGAACGGATAGTGCTGACTCAGAAGCGGCGACTCTAGTTGAGCTCGACCCAGTGTCGATACAGCAGCAGTGGATGATATGTAAACTGATGGTACTTGTGAGCTGTGGATTCAATAAGAAAAACAAGGCGGTAAGACGGGCCGCTAAGAATCAAACAACACACATGGAATTGAATTATGAATGCCACAACGCTGCTGGACTTGGATCCTCATGGGTGTGAACTCCATCGCGAGAGTCTTCGTTTTATCACAGGGATCTCCTGGTCCCATTTAACTTGCAGCAGCAAGTGTCTACTATCACCCCTGCGATCGAGTGCAACGCTGTCAAGTGGGTGCTGTCTGCCACCACGTAGATGATGCTGGCTATATCCTACTCAAATGGTGACCATTCAGGCACGTACGTGCAATCGCTATAGAGCAAAACTTCTCAATCGGATGAGGCAATCGAATGAGGACGATTACAAATGTCATAAAGCTAGTGACATCCCAATTTCAAAGCTGCAAGGTGTTGTCTCCAAGGTCGTCCGCTCCTGTAGAGTAAAAGCGACGTCAGCCAGAACAGTGGCATCGAAGCTGTTCGGCTAGCGCATACCAGAGTTTTCAATCGTGTCGTCCCAGTTGCAATGAGTAAGCCATGTGTTTCTTCGAATGAGAAGCCGTAGCAGCAATCGAGTCTTCGGGTTCAAGACTACTTGGCTGGCACCACACGCTCGCGCTTTACGGACTTAGATTAGAGCCGATGGTTGAGATGTATGCAACTTTGAGATGAGTGCGACAATCATGAGCAAAGAGCGGCACTTGCGGGCGAGAAGCGGCACCGACTTATGTTACTACCAATTCGGACCGCCACAGTAAACGCTGGCCCATGTCTCGACTTGCGTCTTCTACGCCACACTCGTTCCGCTAACAAGTATATTTCCGCCTTTACTCCAAGCGACTGCCTCGTCACCTGCTAGCAAGACGATCGAGCCCGTCTCCAGCTGTCGCATTCCATAATTTATCACTGCTTGGAGTCTTCCTGACTCCCCTTCAAACTTTCGTCTTTGTCTTTTCGTAACGTTTGTGCACGTTCCTCGTGCACCAAAGTTGATCTCGTCCCACTTTCTGTCGGTGTCATGTTGGCCTCGGCGTTCCCACTCCTCTCCGCTTTTTCAGCCTTTGCTGTAGACTTCGTTGCTGCCACCTCTTCACCTTCCTGTCGCTGCTTCTCACGTTGCTGATCCATGATCTTTTTGATCTGGTTTTCAATGATATCCTTGTGGTCTTCTGCCGCTTGCTTGGCAAACGTTATGAGCAGTGCATCCTTACGTGCCAACTCCATGTCTTTACCCTCTCGGTATCCGTCAATGAACGCCATCAGCACCGACTGCCCAACCAACAATTTATCAGCGACCCACGCCTGCACGCTCGTCTTGAACCTCTCAACATCCTTCGTATCCAGCTGCAATGCAGCATCTCGTCCCTCTTTTGTAAGACCACGAAGCACGTCCACGTTCTTCTTAAAAGTCGTCGCAACGTCGTCTTCACTGCGACTTTGACTCAGTACCTCCTTTGCCCGACTGAGCACCGCATCCGTATCCACCCCTCCCACCACGTGCTGCACCTCCTTGGCCAAGTACTCCACGTTCTCTGCTCCTCTGTCTTTCAGCGCATGGAGATTGCCGTGCACTCTCGAGCCTTCCAGACTCTTGTCAATGAACGACAGATTGGCACTCGCAGTGCTCGCAACGTGTCCACGCACAGCCGTGACCGCACGCTTCACCTCCTCCTTGCTACGCTCGATGTCCTCGTCACTGATACCGTTGAAAGACGCCTTGTACTCTTGCCATACTTCGTGGAAGATGCGCCGGTGGTCGGCTAAGGTGAATTCCCAGAGGTCTACGAAGCGAGGCTGCTGCGCGCGCGCCTCGACTTCAGGCGGATTCGACAGACCAGGCGCACGCGCAGCAGCCCAGCGATCGAAGCGGCGGATGGACGTCTGGACGACGCGCACTGAGCGCTGGAACAGCGAGTAGCTCTTCACCTTGGGTGGTGGCGGCATTGATGTGCTCAGGACCTGTGAAATCTGATACCACCTGGAACGACGGATGGACGTTTAGTGTATGGAAACATAGAGGTCGTGAACTCGACGACAAATGGTCAGCGTGCGGCCGCGATTAAGGTGAACCACACTATCTTCTCGCACGACATTTGCTCGACCTTGTCAAAAACACTTGCAATGGCTCTCCGCGTCCTGGGGCGTCGCGTCGTTTCTGCTGCGTCTCGTCTGGCAGCTCCTACTACAGCGGCTCTGTCTGATTCTCCGTCTCTTGTTGTAGATGCTGTAGCAGTAGCGACGCGATACCAGACGCGGTCGTTCGCCAAGGCCAAGAAGAACAAGGACAGCAGGAGCAGAGCCAGTGTACCTACTACTGTTCTGACGGATAACAACGGAGAAGAGGACAACGAGGAAGAAGAAGACGCATCAGTGCATGGAGAAGAAGATGGAGGAGCAGCTCAAGCAGTTCGGAAGGCCACGAAGAACATGAAGGGAGCCGTGGTCAACTTTACACGAACGCTGAGGCAGATGCGTCCAGGGCGAGCAGATGCGGGCATCTTTGATGAGCTGCACGTCCAAGCGTATGGTCAGCACGTTCCTATGGCTCAATTGGCGCAAGTGTCGGTCGTCTCTTCGCACGCTCTGAGCGTCTCGGTCTATGATCCATCGGTAGGAGGAGTTTTTGAAGGCTGGAAGGGTGGGTCCGGGAATGTTTTGCTGGACTCATTTGGGTTGGTGCTTTGGCTGTTTGTAGCTTTTGCCGGATGTGAAGAAAGCTATTGAAGGCGCCAATCCAGTTTACTCTGTGCGTGAAGATGCGAGTGGTCTTGAAATCTCGTTTCCCAAGTACGTGGTGTTGAGTTGTGATAGAGGTCGCTGTGTACATGGGCGACGGACTGATTGGGGTTCGTGCTAGGATGTCCAAGGAGACGCGGGCAGAGCTGCTGAAAGCTACTAAGAAACAGGCAGAGAAGGCCCGACAGCACGTGCGTCGCGTGCGACAGGATGCGATGAATCATGCAAAGAAACTCAAGGAAACTGTCTCGGAAGATGCCATGGAGGCGCAGAAAGAACGCATCCAGAAAATGACTGACGGCGCCATCGCCGAGATCGCCAAGATACTCGAAGCGAAAGAGACAGACCTGAGCACTGTCTAAAAGTGCGTCGATAGACAAAGGCAAGAGCAAACAGCGTCTGCAGAATTTGGCTGTATGTAGAGAGATAGGAACTACACGGCAGACTTCGTGCAATCAAAAGGTGAAGTGGCTTGCACATTTGTCGTGGATTAACCCAGCAGGATCTTTGTCAGCGTGCCTCTAACTACAAGATGCTCCATTTGTTGCGCACGCGAACGGCCATGTGACGCACGAGACGCTTCCGATCATCCAGTACTGGGACGAGTTTTCGCAGCACAGTGTCCTTGTACGGGTGCACGAGCTCGTAAGGGATCGTAGCCAACTTCACAAGACACTCTAGCGCAGCATACCGATCTTTAGCACCAGATCTGCAATCCAAAAAAGTAAGCACGCGATGAGCTCAGCTCAAGCCACTCCACAACACGCGAGACATAAATCAGCACCAAAACTGACGTACCCCAACTGCGCTTGCTTCAGCAGTCCTGGAAACACGTCTTTAAGAAACGGCTTAGAGCTCTCGACAGAATCCAGAAGCAGCGGCTTGAATGTCTGGATAGCGGCGCTACCTAGCTCACGGTCGTCTGTGTTGAGAGCTTGCACAATGAGCGGGAAGATTTGGGCCAAATGAGACGAGTAAACTGCCTTGGGCGAATGCGCGATCACTTGCGCGAATGCTACAAGAGCTGGCACGCCGATCTCCTTGTCCGCGTGGGCACGAATGAACGGGAACAGCAGCGGGAGCACCAGATCAAACATACGTTGCTTGTAAAGGAACTGCGCGCAAACAGACAGAAAACAAAACACGTTATGTCCAGTCCAAAGCATCGGTACCCACTAGGTTCTTACCGTAATGTGAGCCCCACACTTGCGATTCAGCACATCCGGGTGCTCCGACACTAGCAGTTTGAAGGACTTGGCAACTTCCATTCGCATGGCAGAAAACTCCAGTCCGTTCCCTTCTTGGTCCATATTCACGTCACCATGATCGTGTTGGTTCCCCAGTGTAAGGAAATTGCAAAGGAAGCGCAAGCACACTGGCGCATGCACCTTGTGGCCTCGAATAACTAATGCCTTCGCGACCCAGACGTAGATTTTCAGCGCTGCCGCCCGCACACCGAAAGTCTCAGTGGAATCACTAATCACGACTGCAAGCTTCTGGGAAAGCAGCGAGTCAATCAGAGCATCAAGCTCAGTACCGTCCGGCATCTTGTTCACAATTGAGGCCAAAGATTTGGCCGCTGACTGTGCAGCTTTAGTGTACACACTCTGGAGCCGGTAGGGCACAGTCTCTGGTGTCGCAGCAGCACCACCAGACCGTGCTAGCTCGAGTAGTCTGTTGATAACCAACGATGTATCAGGCAGTGCCACCTCACGAGCCGTGGAGTTAATAACTGCAGAAAAAAGCGGAACAAGCTGCACACTAGCAGGCTTGGAGGAATGCGTGCGCAAGAATGCGGGCACCACAGCGTCGACCAGGCATTGTTGGGTGGTCACCGATACATTCTGCATCACGGCACGGAATATTCGAATACATGCACCAAGCTTTGCATCATCCACAAGACCACATTCCGCAAAACTGGTCGCATAAGCTGCAGATGTCTCCACTGCCGTGAGCAGCCTGAAAATGACGGAGTTCGTCAACGATGCTTGAGCACAGAATTCCATGCTGGTCTGGTCGGCAGCGTTGATCTCTACGATCTTGGCCACCGCATCGAGGAGACAGTCCACGCGACGCTGGCGGGCAATGTCGCCGTCCACTTCGCGGAATCTAATGCCACCCTCTTTGTCGTCAATCTTCTCCACACACAGATCAATGAGGAGAAAGATGGTCGCCTGAAAAATACATGATTCGTGGCAAAGCTCGGTGATGGCTAGCAACACCTCTTCGAAGAACGAATCAAATGTGCGGTTCGAAGCAGTCAGAACCGCAGATACTCCGGCGCCTTCTTCTTCATGGTCATCTTCGTGGTCATCACCATGGCTAATCGCAGCCATGAGCCTTGCCAGCGAGATATCTACCACAAATAGGGCGTAGCCACAAGAGACGGGACTCTCAGCACTACCGACCGTGTGCACCGACGACACTGACACGGTAGAGATCTCCTTTAAGCTTTGCAAACAAGCATCTCGCACTTCCATTGCAGGATCAAGAAGCAACATACGAGTGAACAAATTGATGAGTGCCTTGACCTGCGTGGGCGCCACGATAGGTGACGGCGGGAAAGTAAGGAGATGACACAGCCCTTCCACTGCTATGTAGCGTGCGTTCGGGCTGCTACAGGTGTCAAGCAGAGAATTCTGTTCGATGCTGAGGAAAGAAACCAGCGCGTCGATCAGAGCAGGTGCATGTGGACGCATGGGTTGCGCTTGGCCACTTTGATCAATCTCTCGATCAATCATGTTCACCAGAAGCAGAATACGCGCCAGCACAGCTTCAAATTTTGACGGAATGCTCCCACTTCCCGAGCTCTCGTTATGAAGCTGCTCTACCAGCAGCGGTACAGCAACGCCAAGAACATGCGCAAAACTTATCGCTGAATCATGTCCCAGCGCCGCCAATACCTGACCAGCCGATACGCTCACCATCGAGTCGGCAGCATTCTCACGAAGTTGATCCGCAGCCCGCGCTGTCATGTCCACCACGAACTTATTCCATGCATAAGCCGCGCCCGGCGTGTCGTGCGACTTAGCACGTGCAACGACTCCAGAAAACCGCGAAATCGCACGACGAGCTTCGACAATAACCTCCTGTTTTTCCCCGTCCAGCACTTCATTATACAGCGCAGAGGCCACTTCATGCATTTGCAGCAGCATTGCATTCACAGAATATTTCTCTCCACAATAGACCAGCGTTTGCAAAGCATCCAGCTTTGCCTCTACCACTGTCGATGCAAGCTTCTTCAGCAAAAACGGCAGCACGAGCGGAACGAGCAAGTTCGATGCCGCAAACGCGTGTCGCAACGATAAAATAAGCGTTTCCGACGAAATGCCGTATGGATCATTTGGTGGCGGTGTGAAAATGATGGGGAAGTAGCACGACACAATGTCGAAATACTGCTGCAGTAAAGAAGCGCTGCATGAGAACACCAGCTCCAACCTGGACAAAAGCGTACGGGCCACCTGCATGCACAGCAGCAAGTTCCGCGGATCTTTTTCTCCTTCCATTGCACTCAGAAAAGTCTGCGCAAACTGTCGCCCGAGATCATGTTCACACTCATCTGCACCATCTCCAGTAGCCGCATCTTTAGCACTACCAGCATCACCCTCATCTCCATTGTTAGTACTTGACACTGAGTCCAGCAGCAGCTGCACGACCGTCTCTTGAGCCAGCGCGAGCTGGATCAACTCAAAGCACAATTTTCGCATAGCTTGTCCCAATTGAGGGATGTGCAGCGTGCTGCCGAGCTTTAAGACCAGGTCCACAGTAGTGCGTGGCGACGAGACTTGAGCTTTGTGGTGAGTCTGAAGCGCCAGCAGCGCCCGAAGACAGGCTGGAGCACTCGAAAAGTCGGCCAAACGATCTAAAAAGAACGTGATGAGAAGTTCCACGGCGCTGGGTGATGGCTGTAGCTCAGGGAGACGCGTGAGCACTTCCGCCAGTAACAACGTGGCTCGAAAGCGCTTCTTGTCGTCGTCATTGGTCAAGTAGACGCCGAGCGCTTGAATGAGCGTTTCGATGGCGACTTGACGGTGCACCTGCATCACGACCGTGTTCAGTCCCGTCTTCTGCATCGCCTCGTCGTTCTCAGGGTCCACGAACGCGTCAATGGCCGGCGCGAGCGGCGCGTCCAGGCTGAACATCGGACCAGTCAATCAATCACTCGGATGGAAGCGTGATGGGGATTTAGAAAGACCTGATGTTTAGAAACATTGCTAAATGCGATGGTCAGCCGCTGTTGTGACCAAGAATTCTTTTTATCGTTTTATTTTTCTTTATTTCTTATTGCTTTTATTTTTTTATTTAGGCGTGATGTTTTTTGTGATATTGCACGGATGAGTGGCCAATGAAATGGTAGGTAGTGTGACGTTTCAGTGGAAGCTGTCGAATTCGATCTAACCTCACTTTTGAAACGTCAACATTGTCGACGTAGCTGCTCGATCGTGGTCGTGCTCCATTCACCACTGATCGTCCGATTGCAATTAGGTCGATGCCTTTAGCCACTATAGGACTGCTGATGACGGGCAACCCCTCGGTTCTTGATTTCCACACGACGGCGTACGGCAGCTTACGGTCCTGCAACTTGTTTACGTCGTGCCCATCTATCGACCAAATTGAATGCGAAACGAGCGCACGAACAAAGGGAAGGGATTAACAATCCAACGCGACACCTGCGGCTTGCGGAAGACCGCGAGCAACTTCTAATGCAAGGCACGGCAATTGAGCGAAAAGATCCTCAGCTTTGCACATGACCTTCGTCTCTTGTGTCTCGTATGGTACAATCAAACTGTTGGACGTAATCCGCCTTGCCACTTTCCCGTGCACCTGACTAGCCAAACCATGTTGAAGTACGAGCCGACTCACCACCAAGCACCAACAGGCGGCAGTTTAAGCTTCCGTTTTTGTTCAGCAAATCTACCTGACGTCTCCTCTTCTCGTTGAATTCCGTTCACAAGTCCTTGCTGTAACTATGTCCCATGGACGACGTAAGCGTCGAACACAAAGCAGCATCGTACTTCCGGACGAGTCTTGACGACTGCGGGTCTCGCTGGTATCCAGCTAGGACCGGTCGTGTCGCCTGTGGCAGTACAAGACAGCAACCACCAGGAGAAGAGATTACGACACATCTCGTACCTTCCATTAGATGGTGCATCGTGTCGCAGATCAACTCCTTCTTGTCCGTTGGCTCGCAGAAAAGCGACCAGTACAAACGTGTGTGGACCAGCGACGACGGGAAAGGGCAGAACGCTGCAATCGCTACCGTTGGCCAACCAATCGCGCAATTGGCAACCGAGAAACCGGACAACGTGTCGTCATCGAAAACAAGGCAGAAAAAGAGTTGCTAAGTGATGGCTATTGACCACAACATGAACAAGGACACGGTGGCAGTTATGTATCTCTCGACTTGGCGGACAAAAACCAACACACTACAAACGGTGCGTTTTTCCGATACAAACCCAGCTGTCGTACAAACGTTGTGCCTGCTGGGTGTCCAGCGCCTACACACTGTAAGTCGTGTCCACTGTGCTGCATAGAACGTACCGATCATACGACCTTTCACATCTCGGGAGCTCGCTCGGAATGGCGCAAATAGCGCAAAGTCAGTACATCCACGTATTTCTATCATCGATCAATTGACCAATCGACTGGATTTTGATGCCTACAACTAATCGATCGAGGTGGCCGGTCTTTTAATCGGTGCGTCATTGTTGGATTTGCTCTGTCGCCAAACAGGAGACGGGCAGAGAGCGAGACTCGGTCCATGCGCCGGTACAAGGGAGAGCTGGCGTTGTGGTACGCTGCCAGACGCTGCAATGTGGACAAACTCCAGCAGCTTGTGCGCACTGTCGATGTGTCTGTTCAGCTGGATGAACCGCATCCAGTGAAAGGCACGACGCCCCTGATGGCTGCAGCAAGGAAGAAGCACGGAGCCGACATTGTGCGTGAACTGATCGCTCTGGGCGCAGAGCTGGACGTGAGAGACACTGGCAAGCACCAGAACACGGCGCTGCATTACGCGGCTTATTCCAACCGCACGAGTCAATTGGAGCTGCTGCTAGAAGCGGGAGCTGACCTCCTCGCTTTGAATGGCAGAGGGCACACGGCACTGGACGTGGCGCGCCTTCGTGGACGCAAAGAAGCAGCGGCAGCTCTGACGGCTCGCCTCGAAATACACAGGGGATGGCTCCGTCTCCGTTCCAAATCGATGCTAGGGTTCTGGAAACGAAGGTGGTGCGTTCTATTGGCGTGCAACTCGAAACGCACTGCAGCTGAGCTCTGTATCTTTCGATCGCCGACTAAAGTGCACCCTGAAGCCGTGCTGTGGCATGACGGTGGCTCGACTCGCTACGTCGCATGCGCTGGTGAGAATGTCGATGAGCTAAAGCTGGACATGCGAGTAGCGTATCAGAAACTCCTTTACCGACGCTACAGTCGCTACATCTCATCGGGACGAACATATGTCCACAAGGCAAACATCCAGCCACGTGAGTACGTCTTTGAATGCGAGACGGCGAGCAGTCGAGTAGCGTGGATGCGAGCTTTCGACAGTCGACAGCGGGAAAGTGATTGTACCAACACGACTTTTAGCTCGTCAGACGTGGGCTCCCCACCCACGTCGAGCTCAAGTTCTCGTGGACTTACAATTGGTGGACTAGTGTTAGCGAAGGCCGGGTTACCAAGTAGAGGTTTTCAACACTCTTACACTGAAGACGAAGCCAGAAGTATAGCCGCCCGGCCTCAGCCAGCTCAAGCCTTTCGAAACTTTAACAGTGGATCTCATGTTGCTTGCAACGTAGCTCGACCTGTGTCAACTCAGGGTTCAGTGAGCTTGGATTTGACAAGTTGTGCTAGCCGTGGCGCAGCTCGGCCTCAGCCAATTCATGGCTACCGAAGCTTTGACATTGAACCCAGCGTTGCTTGCAGCGCACACCGAGCTGTGCCAGCTCAAGGCAGCAGGGAGTCGATTACAGGTTATAGTAACTGTGGTGAAACCCGGCCTCTGCCCCGTGCTTCTGCACCCAGGCTAAGTGAGGACGAGCTTGGCTTTTTGTGTGACGATGTGGCAGCGCTGCACGTTTCACGGACACAGAGACTGTTTCCGGTCGCGCGAGTAGTCGCTATCAGTGGCGACCCAAACGAGCCGGAGCCAGTGGTACGAGGGAGATGCATTGTCTGTTTCGAGAACCATCGAGATGCTGTGTGCATTCCTTGTGGACACGTTGCTGGTTGCTACGATTGCACCCGAGCTGTCACCCAGGGGAGCAATTCGTGCCCAGTTTGCCGTGCTCATGTGGATGGCGTGGTCAGGATCAACGAGTGAATCGTCACTAAGTGTTGTATGTATGTGGGCGTACACGAGAATAGCGTCGGGCGTCGTCCCTCAGTTTTTATGACTTTATCCGGGTGCACTGGTCCGCACACCATTTAGTTGTCTGAGTTCTGCTGGTTATACGTGCAGTGCACTGAGTGCAACCAGCGTCCAGTTGTTGCACAGCTGTCGTATGTCGGTGTAGTGTGCAAGACTCACTAAGGGCTTTTCGGCAGTACAGACGTGGCATTTGCTATTCGCAAACACCTATTTACGGACCTTTCAAGTTCTATCTGCGAAGCCATTTGACTTTGTTTGCATTCCCTGACAAATGTAGATAGTCTGGTCCAGCTCAAGACTTGCACTCTGTCCGAAGTCTGTTAAAAGACGTCGTCGAGCAGTAATGAAAAAACGAACAAATTTGATTGCGTGTCTTCTGAAGCTGCCGGAAGAGCAAAGTCTTTGCACGGTTGCCACAAGTGGGGCATCCTCTTTGGCTCATTTATTTTAGCTGCTACGACGTAGTCGAGCACGGCAAAGATTGAGCAGCAGCTTACGAATTGCACAAGCAATACGTACACTATTACATATTGACATTCGGACGGGAAGCAGAAACAGCAGTCTGCGAACTTGATGTTGCACTTGTAACGGGGTAGCCCAGTTACATGACATTGACACCAAACGGTGTCAATAGGGAGATTATCTAGAGTGACAATATCCTACCTAGATTATCCGAGATAGATAATATTATCCCCCTTTAGATGATATCCATGCGCTGCTCCAAGATTGGTTGATACAAGACATATTAACCAAGGTTGCCACCAATCGCTGCTGGACGTGCGTAATGAGTGGTGAGCAGGTCGTCGTCATACTATAATGTAGATTAATACAGTTAGATAAAGGCTGAAGCTATATTGATGGCTTAACTATAGTAGACACAGTTCTCTTTTTTTCCTTCAATTAAACCAGCGGTTTAAATAGATAAATTAGCTTCCTCTGCACGTACTGGTGTACGTGAAGTTTCGTGGCACACCAAACAAGGGGTGCCCCGTTACATTAACTATATTAAATACAGCTCTCTTTTTATGTTACTCAAGCTAGCGGTGTGAGTATATAAAGCTTCCTCTGCTCGTACGAGTGAACGTGAAGTTTCGTGGCACCCAAACAAAAGGTTGCCCCGTTAGAGCAGGCTTTTCATCTGCTGTTCAATCGCTGTTATTTTCTGCCACGACCTTTTTCGTTGTGTACGCACGAGCTAATCCCGGAGTGATTGCTAGTATTCTTGTCGTGAGCGTGACCCCTGACATTCGTAGTAGACTTCGTCGCTAGGCTTGTGGTTCAAATATCTATGTTAGATTTTTTTTAGCTTTCTAGTCATCTAGTTATTTCTATTTGAGGAGAGTACCCTTACTATTCCACGTTTTTGATTGGCTGTTCTCAGGCTTGCAGGCAATCCACTTATTTTCAGTGGAATTGCTATTTTTAAAAACCGCCCTTCTGAATGCTGCGTCAGGTTCATTTAGAATTTCCCAAAGTACAATGCAACACTGAGCTTTAGGCACCGCGTAGATGATCCATTTGTCTAAGGCATCGGTTGATGAAGAAATCAAATGGCAATGCCGTGCTGCTGCTAGATTGTGATTCGTTTGAAAGTGTTTCCTTGGAATTTTGATAGGTTGCGAGCAAGGAGTCATCGTCTGCCCCATTCGAGAGTGTTCTCAATGTTTTAGCGAGTATGATGTGATACCGCTCATGCCACCACAATCCGTCCTTCGATCCACAGCCGAGCTGCGATCCACAAAACTCACTCTTATGAAGATCATGTAGAAGCGCGTACCCATCATCGTGTTGGCCAATGTTTAGCTTGCACTTAATGAGGTAGAAAGAAAACTGATTCTCAAACTGTGTTGTTATTTCCTAGCTATTCCGCTCGCTATCTCGCACACTATGTCTCTGTATCTGCCGCTCTTACTAGGTTGACTTACGGTCGCTGCGCTACCCTTCGCCGCCACTCCGACGACTCGCTTCCTGCCTGTTGGTAATTGCAACCTTCTTCACCCAATTTACAGCTCCTTCGTCTTTCGACTGCCCTCTTATACGCATACAAATAGTCGCCGACACCAACTTGATCCGACAGGTCGTGACGCACATCGCGACTGCTCATCACGATCTTCAACACTTCTCCTTGTCGGCGACTTACACTGCGCTTACACGATATGTAGCAATGATCGCAACTTGACTATCTTGGCTGCATCGAATGCTTTGGTGAGTACATCCGTGAGCATCAGGTCGCTCGGCAGAGACTTTGGAACCACAACGCCTCGACGAGCGTAGTCGCACAAGAACTTGCCCCTCGCGTCAATGCACTTTGCTTTAATAGACGACGCTTCTCCCTCAATCTGCCGTAAGCTTCCTGGTTGTCGATGAACATTTTCATCGGTAATGCGGATGACACACCGATCTCATTCAGCTTATATCTCGCTCCAAGTAGCTCTCGTCCAGCTTCAGACGCTGCCACAAACTCCGACTCCATTGTCTAGAGCGTCACACAACCTTGCTTTTTGAGCACCAGACGACTACTATTTCATTTAGCATGATAACGCTGCCGGCCAAAGACTTTTGTATGCCTTGTAGCATGCGTAGTCTGCGTCGCTGTAGCTCACTAAAATAGGTCGTGCAGTTTCTTCGACTGCTGGTTTCATACTGATCTAGTATCCACGCGTGCCACACAAATAGCGCACGATGCGCTTCGCCGAATTTCCAGTCATGGATCCGTGGTATGTGTGTTTGTCTGGTTGCCATGTGCACTGCAAATGCTATGTCGGGCAGTGTGCAAATCTCAACCGAGAGCAACGACCCAACAAGAGACTGAAAAGCACGAACGCTAGGTTGACCTGTAGCACCCGTGTCTGCAAGTAGTCTGATGTATGCACCTTGAACTTTATAAACATCTGTTCCAATAGGTGCACGACTTGAGTTGGCCTACCTCATGCCGTGGTCACGCAGCAAGTTGACAATCGACTCCTTATGGTCAAGAAAATATCCACGATCTTCGTTTCGCGTCACGCGCATCCCCAAAATCTTCGCCACTGGACCAAGATCTTTAATCGAAAGACTTTCGAGGCTCGCAAAAATCGTCAACTGCAACAGCGGATGTAATAGTCACCAGAAAATCGTCTACGTAGACTCCGAAGATGAATGTTCCATCGATGTCGCGTTTGTGATACAAGCAGAGGTCGCTGATGCAGCGAGTAAATTTGGCTTCTATCAACCGATTGTTAAGCAATTGGCTCCACAAGCGCCCTGCTTGCTTTTTTATCGTGAAGACTTTTTTTGATTTAAGCACGACATATTCAATCCTCGTTGCCCCAGTTTTTCTAGTTCTCTTGGTTCAACCGTCATGCCATTGGGATGATGCATCAGAATATAGAGATGCCGTTCCTTCTCTGCTTCTACATAAGCATTGGGACGTCAACGTGTTTAGCCGGGACGGCCCATGTAGCAGCTAGTGCCAAGATTACTTTCTCCGTCGTCATATCCATGACGGCAGTGGATGTTAGCGCGTAGTTCGCGCCAAATTTTTTTTTCATTTCCGCAGGCAACGAGGCGCGCTTTGTGCCTTTACAAATCTCCATCGGCATTCGTCTTGGTCTTGAAAACTTATTTGCCATAAAAAACGTTGCTGTTGCTTGATCGGAGCGCCAAGCGCCACACTTCATTTCTTTCAAGCGCTTCCAGCTCCTCACGCATTGCTTTTTGGCATTCGTTTCTCTTCTTGCACTTCATTGCTTCGCCATAGTTGCGAGGGTCTCTTTCGAAAACGTGATTGACGACATCAGCGCTAACATCTTCTTCTTGGATTGCAGCTGCTTTCTTTGCCGCACCTCTTGTCACGTGTGGCTGTCGAGTCCACTGTTTCTTCTTCTTGGGCTTCTTGCTCGCAGTACCCCTACTGCTCTGTTGCACAGGTGACTCAGTGTCTTCGTCTGCTTCTTCCCGATCGTCGTCATCAAGTGCCAGTTGTAGCTGCCTGTTCTGAGCTGCATAGAACGTTTAATATTCTGGACATGCTGCGTTGTGACGACCTTGTTTTTCTTCCTAATAAACACTCTAAAACCCTTGGTTTCATCACTGCATCCAACGATCGTGCCCACTTAAACACAGCGCGCATACGAATTTTTGCTTAGATCACGGTACACGGTACAATGGGAGCCAAACACCACGATGTTGCGCAAATATGGCGATTTATCCGTCTGGAGTTCAAGCGGCGACGCTCTCCCAGGATTAGAATTTGTAGGGCTCTTGTTCAGAATATACGTGAAGTTTTGCGGAGGCTTCTCGCCACAAGATGAATCCCGCGCTGTTACATACGCCGCTACAAGCGGGCGGGGTGGGATAGCTTCCATTATGGTAGCTTGCAAGACGCAAAGGGTCAAACACGCCATCCTATGGCTTTCCAACGCAAGGACATCTACACTTATGCTTGGAAGACATGGGCATTTCGAGGCGGAACGCTAGATAGGTCAGCAGGGCTGTCACCCATCACCAGATGGCCCCGAAATCTGGTAGACAAACGCCAAGACATCCGTTATTAAATTTACTTGGTCCATGGATGGCCCCATCGTCAATCATTACGGAGGCCAGTCGAAATGAGTTCGCTGAGGCGTACTTGATCATGACAAATGCCGCTAGCAGCTGGTCCACCCCAGAGGAATGGGTGATAAAACTCGCGCAGCGATCTCTACCCACGCATTCTTGATGAATACTGAACAAAGAAGAAGCTTTTTGGCCCATATTCGCTTGGACGGATAACCCATGGATTGTAGATCAACACGGAAGGCCGTTTACATCCCAGCAGTACGACAAGACATAGCCTTGCTCGATTGCTGACCTGCAAATTAGCGGATTGGGGCTTAGATATACTCCTTTGTCATTCCAATAACAGGATCTACCATGCATCAACATGCTAAGATACGTCGCTATGGTCTAAAAAAATTTTACTGGCCGCACCG